AGTGTTCTTGCCTGGGAAATCCCATGGACCGAGGAGCCTGGAGGGCTACAGTCCGTGAGTCGCAAAGAGTCGGACACAACTGAGTGACTAACACACACACAAGGACTGTTCCAGTGACTGCCAAGCCCCTGATCAAGGTGCGGAGCTTGTTTTAACAGACATGGGCCTCTGTCTTCAAAGATGTGTGGAATTTAAAATAGATGACCCTGTATACAGGAGATGTTGATAGTACAGGCAAGCAATTGAATGATGGCTTTGTGACTCGAACATATTAATAGCTCTGGGAGCACTATTACTCCAACTATCAGGATGTAATGTAAAGTTTCAAATGCTTGCACTACAGTATATGAAGGCATCTGTTAGTAATGACAAAAGGCTGACCCCAGAGCATTTCCCTGAAGTAAAAAGAAAAAAAGTGGAATTAGGGTGGGAGGTGGGGAGCGATGAGAGAAAGGGGGTCGAAGTCGGGTTCCCGCTCTTCTGGCTGGGAAAATGCTTTACTGTATACCTAATCTTGCTTCGTTCTACACCCGGGCTCTGCGAGAGAGGGCCCGTCCCCTTCCGTTCCGCTCCGTTTTGATCCTGCAGTCAGCTGCAGAGTTATAGATGAAGTGACAAGGATGGTATCTTGATTGCATCCAGCTGCCTGGAGTAAGTCAAGGGCAGAGAGGCCCCGCCTGAGGAGCCGCGCTCGCCAAAGCCTCCAAAGGCGTCTGAGAGCCAGGACACCGCGGATGCTTTCAGAGCGGCGGCGTTCAGCGTTCTGTGACCCAGTGTCACCAAATTAAGTGTCCCCAGAGAGAAGCCTGGTAAGTGACCTGAGCTCACAGGAAGAGGACTGAAATCAGAACAGCCTTCGACCCTAAAACTGAGCCCGTGTTGGTGTCATTGCTGTCAATGGGGGCTTGAAAATAAGGACCCCTTGGGAAGGTGATTTCACCTTCCTTCACATGGATTAGAGCTGTGCTAGGCTGGGCTGTGCTTAGTCGCTCAGTCATGTCCGACTCTTTGCGACCCCATAGACTATAGCCTGCCAGCCTCCTCTGTCCATGGGGATTCTCCAGGCAAGAATGCTGGAGTGGGTAGCCTATCCCTTCCCCAGGAGATTTCCCAACCCAGGAACTGAACCGGGGTCTCCTGCATTGCAGGTGGATTCTTTACCAACTGAGCTACCATGGAAGCCCCAGATTACAACGTTGACTCAAATACACGTGGGTTGGGGGGAGATGGGATTCAGCTTCCATCTAGCAGAGGTCCAACGGAATGGGTGCCCCCCGCCCTGCCCCTCCTCCTCTACCTTGCCCATCGCTGGTGCTGAGTGTTGTTGCTTGTGCTCATAGCCCTCCAGAAATCTCTTTCATCCTTTTGAGATGAATTGGTGATGGTGGTTGTGATGTGGCTTGAACAGGCAGGTGCTCGGTGGCAAGCAGAGAAACCTGGCCATGCACTTTGGTGGGGTCTACCCCAGCCTGCAGGCCAGATAGAAGTTAGGACCCACAGCCTGTGTTGTGGCTCCGTAATAGTATTATATTATTTTAATCTGCTGAAATACAAACCCCAGAGTAGAGAGAACACAGTTGCAGCATTATACATCTGAGGAAATGTTTGACACGGATTTGTTTGTCTGTGGCTATTATGATGACGCCTGTGACCAATTAGCTCTGTTGATTACAACATGGTGTTCATGAGGCTAAGGCTGTGAGTTGGAGAGGCCTGTTAGGTGAGCTGGTTCCACACAAAGGAAACCTCTTTCCACCATTCCAGACCACGTTCAAGACGCCAGTCAGACACCCCATGAAAGCAGATAGATGATCACAAAGACGGGGCAAGAGAGTGTAACGACTCAGCAAAGGTCCCTTACCCTCTCCTAGAAAAGCGATTTAAAACATGTGCTTTAGCAATGGTGAGTTGTTACTGTGATCTTCTCACACAAAGGCTGTCACATTATTATGAATGGTGACTGGTGATCAGTACTGTTGCAGGCCTCCTTTCTGAATGAAGTGTACTAGCTCTGGCTGTGAAGAAAAGAGGAAGGGGCTCTGGACCCCTTCTTTCCTGCTCAGCTTTTTGTCTGCCGAGGTTTTGCCTGTCCGTCCGTGCCTTTAGCGGGTGTGCATGAAAGGCTATCATGTGCTGACACAGTGCTTTGTACTTGGAATACCACCGAGAGTCTCTGTCCTCATGGAGTTTAAACTCTGCGGGAGGAAAAGAGGTAAAAGTAGACAATAAATAACCAGTGCAGTTTTGTGAAATGGAAGTTTGATGAAGAAAAGCATGGAGTGACGGAGTGTGATGAAGAATGGCTGGTCAGGGGATGGTGTTTACCTTGGATGGGAGGGTCTGGAAAGGCCTCTCAGAGTAGATGATAGTTAACTGGACATCTGACTGATGAGCAGGAACCAGCCTTTTGAAGAGTTGGGGGAACAGCCCATCAAAGAAATAGCAGGTGCAGAGGCCTTAAGGTCTAGTCACAGTTAAAGGACAGGGAGGCCACTGACTTGTCGAGAACGTTGTAAGAGAGAGAAGCTGGAGGGTAGGAAGGCCGTTTAGAACATGCTGAGGAGTTTGCATACTACTCTTAGTCAGGAGGAAGCCATCTTTTGTTTTGTTTTACGGGTGGAGCATTTTTTAAAGATCTTGTCAGTGGGATGTTATGGATTGAACATGTCTAAAAGAGGTATTCCCTTTTTTACCTTTCATCAAAAGACTTCCCTTGTGGCTCAGACAGTAAAGCATCTGCCTACACTGTGGGAGACCCAGGTTCAATCCCCGGGTGGGAAAGATCCTCTGGAGAAGGAAATGGCAACCCACTCCAGTACTTTTGCCTGGAAAACCCCATGGACAGAGGAGCATGGTAGGCTACAGTCCATGGGGTTGCAAAGAGTCGGGCACAACTGAGCGACTTCACTTCTTCACTTCAAAAAAGGTATGCTGAAATCCTAATCCTTAGTAACCTTATTGGAAATAGGGTCTTTTCAGAGACAATCAAGTTAAAGTGAGATTGTCAGGGTGGGCCCTAATCTGGTTTATCTGGAATCCTTATAAAAAGGAGAAATTTGGACACAGAGACACCCACTCAGAGAAGAAGACCATGTGAAGGCAGAGGTTTGGAGTGGTGCGTCTATAAGCCAAGGAATGCCGGAGATTGACAGCTACCCACCAGGAGCTGGGGGGAAGGCAGGCAGGACACTTCCCTGGGTGAGATCGCCCCACCAGCGCCTTGACTTCTGATTTCTAGGTCTCCGTTGTTTTAAGCCACCCAGTTTATGTTATTTTTTAAAGCAGCCCTGTGCTCAGTCGCTCAGTCATGTCCGACTCTTTGTGACCCCAAGGGCTATAGCCCGCCAGGCTCCTCTGTCCTTGGAATTTTCCAGGCAAGAATACTAGAGTGGGTTATCATTTCCTACTTCAGGGGATCTTCCCGACCCAGGGATCAAACCCACATCTCTTGCATCTTCTGCATTGGCGGGTGGATTCTTTACCCCTGTGCTCCCTAACAGGCGCAGGGGCGGGGGGTACCAGCATGCTGACTTTGGGAAAGAAGTGACGCATCCTCCCGGACTCAGTGACACTCGGATGTGGGGCAAACCTCTGGTTGCTATAAAATCATATGCTCTGACCGTATGATTTATATACATGTGGGTAAATATATAATGAAAATATATATAAACTAATAGGATGGCGCCCACTGGTTGAATTACCCTGTAAAGCATACCCTACTCTTCTTTTAGGAATGGTCCTTTTAGGGATGCTCTGTAAAGGATGGTTTAGAAGGGCAGGGGTGGAAGCAAACAAACTGGAAGCCTGTTACAGTAATCCAGTAATCCACAGTAATCTGGTGATGATGGTGGTTTGAGCTGGAGACAGTGGTAATAGAAGCGCAAGAGGGCATCAGAAGTAGAGCCAGCAGTACTTGCTAGAGGACTGGATGTGGGAAAAGAGGAAAGGAGTAAAGGCTGGCTGTTAGCTTTGGGCCTGAACAGTTGGATTAGATAATTTACTGAGACAGGAAAGACCGAGAGGACGGCTTTTCCCAGGCTGTGGAATCAAGAGTCATGCTTCGGACATGTTAAGTTTGAGGTGCCTGTTGTTAATCCAGCTGAAGGTATTAAGTAAGTAGTTGGTTGTGTCAGAAACATTCAGGGCCAAACCTGCATTTAGAGGTCATCAGAGTTTAGACGGTATTTAAAAAGATTGAAACTAGATGTTACTTGGGGGGAGAGTTAAAGAGAGTATAGCTCTCCAGGACTAGGCCCTTGGGAACTCCGCTGTGTAGAGGTCTGGGCAAGGATGAGGACTTAGTGGTGCTGAGAAGAGGCTCTAGGACAGCTAGTAAATTGTCAGTATTCACTGATGGTTAGTGGTTTAAAGGCTAAGGAAATTGTATGGAAATACATGGAAAAAAGTATTGGATGTACCCCACTCTCCTATACCAATTCTGTTTAACAAAACTATATCTCAGAGCCTTTCCAAATGTGGAAATCAAATTTTTGTTTTCAGTATGTTATAGTTTATAAAATCAGGCAACTCCTCTATACCTGAGGCTTCCAAAAGATCATAAAAAAATGTCTTTGTGCTCCAGATAGATTTTTTTTCTTTTTCAGAAGCAGAGACTTTGTAAGTTTCCACAGTCATCAAAGTTTACCATAAATCACGGTTTCATTTATGCTTCATTTGTGCATTCATTAAGAGTGGAGCCTATTTCACTAATCACCTGTTGAGAGATTATATACCTTGGCCCAATTCAAGAAGCTATTATTCTACATTACTTGAAGTTTCTAAGTACGAACCTGAAAGTTATAGAGGAAATTAGAATCAACATTTATCTTTGAATACTGGCAGAAGAAATAGCACCTGTTGGATCGAATTTCTTCAGAAGCCCATTCTGCTCTTAGATTGTGAAGACTTGAATGCAGGGATTCTGTCATTTAAAGAACTGGGCACCGTGCTTGGTCATTGTCTGAACTGGGAATTGACTGCTGATGTGTTTCTGTCTTCAGGTCTGGCGAGAGTTCCCTGACCGGTTGGTGGGTTACCCGGGTCGCCTGCACCTCTGGGACCACGAGATGAATAAGTGGAAGTATGAGTCTGAGTGGACCAACGAGGTGTCCATGGTGCTCACAGGTGCAGCCTTTTATCACAAGGTGAGGCGGGGCAGGCTCGGAGCAAGTGGGGCTGAACTGACAAGCACAAGAGCATGATACTTGTTTCATTGCGCCCAAACTAATTTTTGCCAAGTTTAGGAAAAATGTTCTATTCAGAGAGCTTAGAAAGGCCATGTTATGTGATTTAAAAAAAAAAAAATAGTTATTTTTCTAATTATTAAAATATTACATGCTCAAATATGGAACAAATTTATTATATAAGAAAAATCACTTAAAGTTCTATCATAGGACTAATAGTAGATAAACTATTGGGTTGGCCAAAAAGTCCATTCATATTTTTCTGTAACTCTTATGGAAAATAATGAATGAACTTTTTGGCCAATACAGTATTATTATTATTTAGGTGTTTTTTCCAATTTGTCTTTATTTACTGATTCACACATACAGTTGTAAATATTCTCATCAGCTTTTTTGCATGGATTATATTATGAGTTTTTTCCATAGTCATTAACATTTCTTCATGAAAACCTCTATTTAACATAATTGCTAATATACCGTTATATTAATATTCCATAGATCATATACAACTATTTCTCTGTTATTGAATATTTAGGTTGTATCTAATTTTTTTTGCTAGATAATGCTTTTATATCAAATGCTTAAATAATGATTAGTACCCATTTTCATAACTGTCTATACTTATGATCTTTATGATAGATTCCTAGAAGAATTATGAACATTTTGGGGAGGTTTTGTTGTATATATTCATTGGTTGTTCTCAGTACTGTTTGTGCCAATTTACATTCTCACTAGCAAAATATAAAAGTGTCCTATCGTACTCTTTCTTGCATGAAATACGTTTTTTAAAAAGTACGTTTTTAAAAAATACGTTGATTTTATTGATTTCACTTTGATTTTTTCACTTGGGGTTTGAAATTCCTTTTGTGTATTTAGCCTTTTGTATTCCTTCTGAGAATTGTCACTTTATGTTTTCGACTCTTTTTTATTAAAGGGAGAGATTGAAGAGTATACATTAGACTTTAGAATATTATGTTTGGTGGCGGAATGCTCCCTGGGAGTGTGTGGCTTAATTAAACAGTAATAACTTGTCAATTGTCAGCAGTGGCATAAGGAACTGATGTCAGGAGAAAGATCTGTTCAGCCCACTGCAGTGAAGTTGACTTCACTGTATTTATATCAATTCCTTGTTGTGATCTCAGCACTGCTGCCCTCATATTTTTCAGGGCTCTTGATCCAGAAATGAGTTTTTTTTTTTTTCTTAGCAAAGCATAAATAAATATATAAGGTGTATAATTCTTGGGGCTATGATAGACTGATAAATACCTTTTTGGCAGATGTATTTCTGTATTATACCACAAATTTCTATATTATTTCATACACGTAGGTTATGGTAGTTTTGGAATTGCCTCTTTTTTGTTTTACATTAATAAAGGACATGTCTGCAATGTCAGTCCACCATCAGTATATCTCTGTTGCTATTTGCAGTCCATGGGAAGAATATAAAAAACAGGGTGGAGCACTGTGACTCAGAGGGAAAGATTCAGTAAAGCTCAGTATGTGGTGTGTCTCTGAACAATATTTATTAAACACATGCGTTAATCAGTCCAAAGGGCCTGCATCTTACAGGGACTTCACACTGTACTGTATGTTCCTCTGCTTACAATAGGTGATTTTTTTAAAGAAGACAGTTGGTCACCTGACCACAAGCACTCTAATACTTCCTTTGGCCTTTGTACTGATCCGACATTGTGACGCCTCTTATGAGAGAAAGCTTGTCCCCCCGCCATGGCTCAGTTGCTCTTTGAATGTCAGCCACAGGGAACTGCTTTTCGACTGTGTCTCCTCTTTTGTCTCACCTGGCAGTATTTTAACTACCTGTATACCTACAAGATGCCTGGGGACATCAAGAACTGGGTGGATGCTCATATGAACTGTGAAGACATTGCCATGAATTTCCTGGTGGCTAACGTCACAGGGAAAGCTGTCATCAAGGTAGGAGGCACCCATGGCCAGCTCTGGGCACATCTTGGGCGCCTTTCTGAGTCTCCAAAGTGTTCATAGCTATAAATGAAGACTTGGAATAGATGAACTTTCAGCTGCCTTTTTAGCTTTAAGATTCTATGATGGATGTTTCACATTGTGAAATTGAAGCTCAACTTATTTTCTTTTGTTATATAAAGTTTCTTTAGTTATAGTTTTTTAACTGCCAGCATCAGAAAGAAAGTCTATAATGGTTAATGTACAAATCGTGTTTGTTTTAAAAATGTAATTTTATTCTCAACACTGATTTGGAATCTAGTTCTTCTAAAATGCAGTTATATCTTTCTTAAGGTAGCTGATTTTTTTTAATAAATGTTGAGAAGATAGTATACTTTGTACAGTTATACCGGTAGTTGTGCTACTGCTGCTAAGTCGCTTCAGTCGTGTCTGACTCTGGGCAACCCCAGAGACAGTACCCACCAGGATCCCCCGTCCCTGGGATTCTCCAGGCAAAAACACTGGAATGGGTTGCCATTTCCTTCTCCAGGTAGTTGTCCTAAGCACTGTTTTAAGAGAGTGATTACCAATTTTTAAAAGTACCTTTCTCATAGCATATTAAAAGCTGCGAGTATGTGAAGATCATGTGGGGATCTTTGTTTCTATAATAGCTGTCTGTTCCTGAAATGTAGGTCTTGTCTAAATCAGATCACTAGAAATGTAGACAGAGTACACTTCTTTGTATCAGTGGAGTCATCTTGACCTTTTTTTCTTTCTGGATTAGAATTCCACATGTGAAAATGGCCAGTGCTTCTAGGCCAGATTCCTATACTGGAAGCTTATATTGGAAATGTCGTATGACATTCCAGAATGATTCCTCATGCTATTAATATTAATTAATATTAATTAATTGATAATTTAATTAATTAATAGATGAGAGAAGCCAGACTAAGCCAGTGACTAAGAAAAGAGGAACAGTCACTGTCCAGACCTGATCCAGTCCTCATGCTATCCCTCGGCTCTCTAAATAGCCCAGTGACAACTCACTGAAGGGACAGTTAAAGAATGTAAATCGCAAAACTAGTTTTAAAAGAACTCCTCTTATCTCCAAATTCGTTTTTTTACATTCTTCAAGACATTCTTTAGCTGTGCCTTCTTACTCTGGGCAATAATTCCTCGAGTCTGTATACTTCTCAGTCGGGTCTTAGTAATCTAGCTTTCTTCCCCGCCCACCCTCTACTGTTTACTTACCTTCACTGGGTTACGATAGCAGCCTCCCCTGAGTTTGCTAGAAAAATACTCTAAGTTTGAGGTGTGGGGAAGGTGGTGGGGAGAGTCAGAGAAAAGGATTCAGAGGGCAAAGGACCATTGGATTTTTTTTCCTGACTCAAAGGGGTTGTGAAATAACCTGACGTTTTCAAGAGCATGGTGCCGCCCGTAGCATTTGCCATTAGCTGGAAAAAGGAGAAAGAGTGCTGTTGGAACTAAGGTTACGGTGAAAGTTATGGGAAGCTGTATTTCATCGCCCTTATGGCTGCAAGAACAAATGGTGTTTATACAAGGACCTTGGCAGTGAGAAAACAGTCATTAAACAGGAATTAAGGAGCTTGTCATCACCACTTCTTTCCAGTTACAGAAGGCAAAAGCCCTGCAAGCCTCTTTTATTGGGCCCTTGTGAGTTCTGCCGTTGGCCGAGCCAGATAGAATTGAATGGAGGAACGGTGAGGGGTGTGTGTGTGTGTGTGCGCGCACATGTGTGCACGTGGAGAGGAAGCAGGCATCTCAGCTTACAGAACAGAAGCATGCAGAGTGGTGTCGCAAGCATGATTTTATTGTCCTCAGCACTGACAGCCGGGTATATTTTTGTGCTCCTCTGGCAGGTAACACCACGAAAGAAATTCAAGTGTCCTGAATGCACAGCCATTGATGGGCTTTCACTCGACCAGACACACATGGTGGAGAGGTGAGTGGGCCTCTAGACAAGAAGTCTGCCCTGGCCTCTGATCCCCATTTCCTGCTTTGGGCCTGTTTATGGGACTCTGTTGCAGATATAAGGACAGCAGCTGGTAGCCATAGTCACCTCCTTTTGCACGTGGGAATTGGGTTAGTTCAAGCCCAGGTCACCCAAAGAATTAATTTGGAATGCTACTCACTCAATTTGTAATGGCTGGAAGGGTCTTAAAAATATAGCTGGCTTTAAGCTCCAGAAGCCAGATTCTCCATGTGGACTAAGCAGTTAACCATCCACAGTCACTCAAGTGGAAGTGAGCTAATTCCGAGGAAATCCTGGATTGGTTTTCAGGGTAGTCTCTCTGTGTTACAGTAAAAGTTCGATTAGAGAGAATTATTAAACCAAACCCACCAGAGGCCAGATTACCGTTGTGGACACACTAAAGCACCTACCGAGAGCAGAATTGAAAGCACAGCTCTTTAGGTTTCAGAGAGAGAAGCGGGGCGGTTCTGAGATACCCGCTTTATATTGATTCAGTCACTTACCCGATAAGCACCCATTTGTGTGGATGTAATACAGGGCCTTGTAGGTGAGTATGAAGGAAGTGGGAGACGTCCGTCTTCCCTTAAGACCATCTCACTTGTGTCCCAAAAGCCCCAAGCTTCAGATCTCCGGAATCAAAACCAATTCTTCCAAAAGGCAGCCTCTTACATAAGACAGCGAGCTCTGACAACCAATAGCATCTTTGTCAAGGGACCAGAATGCGTTCAGAGAATGTTGTGATGGCTGTTAGAGTGAGATATCTAGTTCAGGTTCTCATGGGTCTCATGTGCGTCTGCATGCAGCACTCATTTCTGAACCCCATCAGCTGTGTCAGAGTCCTTCAAGCCTGGAGTTTGTTGTACAGGAGATCGTTTCAGTTGGCCTGGATCCTTCTATAATGCTTTACTCCTTCTTATGCTTACTTCTTACTCTTACTCTCTAAATAATCTCTTTCATATGTAAATATCTTACCCAAATGACTTGACTTTTACCAACTGTCAATATGAAATAATATATTATTGTGACTTTGAAATATCTGTCGCTGGTATCAAGTATCACCTAGTCAAAGACAGTGACATTACTGACACAGCTCATTTGGAAGAGACCCCAATTATAGTTCTATTAGAGCACATGAAATTGTTACTTAAACCTGCTTCCATTCTGTGTTCAGAATTTCATAGCATTAAGCAATTAGTTTTTGATTGGGCTGAGTTACATGGTGGGTCTTATGGTCTAAGAAAGGAATTGTATTTAGAAAATTTCACCCAGTACTGGCCTTAAAGTTCATGCTAAAGCTGAAAAACTGAGATGATAACAAATGCAATGAGAAAGATTTCAGTTAGGTATAATTATTACTAAACACTGAAGAAAGTAACTAAGGGAAATGTGGAAGCTTCCTCTTGGGAAGAGGGTTTTGAAAATAGAATAGACACTGCCCAGATGTTGGTAGGCTTGATTTTATCAGATTTTTATAATTAACAACAGTAGGTAATAAACATGTGTCTTTGTGTATCTAACCTAATCTGAAGCTATATGCGATAAGTCAAAAGGAAGGCTCAGAATGTTGTAACTGGTCAGAGGAAAGAAAAACAACTTCTTACTAGGTCAGTTATTATGAATAATTTTGTAAGAGGTGGCACTTGAAGTGAGCCTTCAAAGATTGCTAGGATTCCAGCTCCAGGCAAGAAGAGGAGATCCTCGGCAGGGGAAACCAGATGGTCCAAGGTGTATTTGGCAAGCAGTCAAGATATCCAGCTTTGCTAGAGCAGAGCATCCTGGCCCATCAGTGCCAAAGGGCATTTTTCTCTAGGCTCTGGTAAGCCATGGAAGGTTTTTAAATAGGGAAGTAGTTTGTTTAGAGTATTGCTTTGAGATGGATTTGGAAGGAGTGCATAGAATGAAATTAAGGTGAGATTGAAGAAAGAAGAACAGTTAGAAGGCTTGAACTAAGTTGAGTGTGGAGAGGAAGGGTTGAATTAAATTACACGCTTTTTTTCTTTTTTCTCCCAAAGGAGAATGTGCTAGCATTTGATGTCCTACTGGATATGTGTGGGGAGGTTATGGAGGAGTTGATTGAGATAGGAAGAATGGTAGAACCTTTAACGGTATAAATAATATAATTAGGAGGGACGCTAAGTAGGGGAGGGGAGGACATGAATGTTGTACTTTTAACAGTGTAATTAATGAGGCCAGGAGATTTTAATGGTGTGTGAAGTTGGAGAGCAGTAAGGCAGGTGAGTTTGTGCTCTTATCCTCTATATATGCAGATACAGATATAGAGCAAGCAGTTGGAAATATAGAAATTTTTTTTAATATTTTTTCTATATTCTAAATATAGAATATAGAAATATAGGGCTTTAGAAAAAGATTGAAACAAAGATGGAGATTCAGAAGACATCCGTCCAGAGATGACAATTGATTGAAGAAAAGCTATGGGTAGAATCTTGAGAAATTCAGACATTTAGGAGACAGGAATTGGAAAGAGAGAAGCAGGCACTTGAGAGAGGCCAGGAGAGAACCAGGACCTCCAGTGCCCAACAGCACTGGGGACTTTGGAAAAAGTGATGTTGTAGGGTGATGGGCTGAAGGGCAATAGCGTGTGAGCTGACAGTGAGGAAGTAGAGTCAGTGATGGCAGACTCCCCTTTTGAGAAGTGTGATGGAGAACAGAAGGAAATCAATCTTGAATTAATTAGAAACTGCAAGCAAAACTATTTGGATTAAGGTTAAATGACTGAATTATTAAATAAGACACTTAGGTTGAGTGGGAGGGGGATATGATTTAAGCCCTATTGGATATGGAGTTACAACTGTAGAATTTTTCACTTGTTTTGTTTTGAAGTAGTTTCCTTTGCGGAATCTGCATTTTTGCACAAAACAGTGAAAGGAGTTAGCCACTCTGCATATTCTGACCTTGGGTTGAATTGTGTGATTCAATAAGCTTATTTATTCTTATGTTTGGGGCCTGGGATCAGAAATCTCAGCTGTGGAGGAGAGTACTTTTACTTTTTCCCTCCTGGAAACAGGTCCTGCTATTAGTTAATTTAAGAAAAAGAAGATTTTGTAACTTCATTTTGCCCAGTAGCTTTACCCACGTCAAGACAGTATGGCAGACAAACAATGCTGATTTAAAAAACAAACATTGTATTTTGATTCAGGTCAGTCTTCATTCAAATTATGAATTAGCCACTTATTAGCTGTCCAACTTAAGGAAATTGACTTACCTTATCTTGAACTTCCAATCGTTTCATCTCTGAAAATAAATATATTTACTGTCATATTACTGTATCCATTCAGAATTCAACAAATATTTATTGAGCATTTTGGTATCAGTGCTAGGGATGAAAGAAGTAATAATGCAGGAAAGTCTGTAGCCCGGGGTCTGGCAAGGTTAGTTCGCTTCCCAGTTTCCCCAGTGCTCACCCTCAAGCTCCTTGTTACTTTAGGTAATAGCATGAGTTTGAAAGGAAAACAGAAAGTCATTAGTCTTTTCTCCCCTGGACACTTGCAGCATTTCAGAGATAGACATTGGCCATTCTTAGCCTATCTGTACTTGGTTAGAAAACCAAGCTGGGGAACAGTTACTGATACGGTAGCTGGACCCCCAAGAGAACAACTCAGGTAGACCCACCAGCAACCAGCCCAACTCAAAATCTACCCTAACTTGTTCCCCACCCCAGGTCCCCCGCATGAAACGAAGGTAGGAGATGCTGTTGGTACCTGGCAGTCGAGGACCTGTACCATTCAGCATGGGCAGTCGCTTCTCCAGGGTGGGCTACGTGGAGAGAAAGGAGGACTCAGTAGCCTGGGTCAGCCGGGGGCAGCTGTCAGCAAGTCAAGCTGGCCTGAGCCCCAGCGGCCTCTTGCCTGTGGCCCAGCGCAGTCAGCCCGTCTCGTTACAGAGGAGATGTCGTCCTCGGCGCTCCTCAGAGGCCTTACAGCCGCCAGCCCCTGCCAGGAGCCCTGATTCTTCTTTCATCCATGCTCGCCGGCACCCTATGCTGGGCACGGCTGGGCTTTGCTGGCCAGAGTCTACAAGCAGAATCACTGGAAACTACAAGAATCTGTCCGTGTTTATAGGCAGAACAACTGTCAAAAGTGAGACCTTGGGGAGATTTGACTTAGTCTGCCACTGTCTTGACCCCATAATCTAAGGTGAGAAGAGGTATTGTCTGGTGCTTGCTTCCTGTCATTTTATTAAACCTCTCTGTCTTTTCCCCAGTCTCCTGTCATTTTGGAACCTGAGACTGCTACCTCCTGGGTCTCGAAAGACTGCCAACAGGAGGGGAGCTCAGTGATCTGAGGGCCATTGTAGAATGTGATAGAAAGACCCAGGCCTCTGTTACCAGCGCAAGCCTGGGATTGAAGCCAGCCCCACCACCTTCCAGCTTAGGGTCCTTGGGAGAGTCCCGTAGCCTCTCTCAGCCCAAACTTCTCAAACGACACCTACCCTCGGGCGCATGATGGGGGATACTTAAAGGAATTGCTGGGGTCATGTATGTAAATCAGCTGGCACTTAATAGGAAATGGCAACCCACTCCAGTACTCTTGCCTGGAGAATTCCAAGGACAGAGGAGCCAGAAGTCTGGAGGGCTACAGCCCATGGGGTTGCAGAGTCGGACACGACTGTGCGGCCAACTTTCACTTTTTCAGTAGGCACTGAACAGTTGTGAATTTCCAGCTTCTCTCTGGGCCCTAGAGTAATGATAATGAATAGTCTCATCTCATAGTGAAGACTTCAGCCTCAGCAACCAGAATGCCCGGGTTGGCTCTGCTCTTACCGGTTATTTGGCTTTGGGCCTGTCTCTGAGTCTCTCCGTGATATACCTCTGTCTCCCCATTGTGCTGTGGGAAGGATAGGAGACCTGCCTCGTGGGGTTGTTGTGAGGGGAGACGTGAGTAACTAGTACATGCCAAGCACTTTTAACACAGCCCAGAACATAGAATAAATGTTAGCTGCTGTTGCTTTGTGGCTGTGGGCACAGTGATGTTATTAGCTGGAAGAGCTCAAAAGGAGATAGTAACTCATTCTGACCAACAGAATAAGCCCAAGAAAATGATTGATAATAACTGGCTTCTTTATTAATTGGTTTCTTGCTGAAGCTCAGAGGACTCAAATAAAAGCCGTCGACCAAAATAGCTTGAAGTAAGGCTTACAGTCTCCAAGGACAGAAGAGTCTTGCAGTCTGTGTCTTGAAATTCAGCCCTTCCCTGGGAACCGGTTCTCAGGTGCCGTGGGCCTGACTGAGGAGAGAGAATACTGACCTCGCTGAAATCCATCCTTGAGGTCCCCTTGACTTCAAAAGCAGTTTTTGCGGGCTTGTTTTCCCCCTTCGGCCTGACACCGAAATGTCCTCATTACCCGCTGTCACACTCAGTTGGCCTGATCGACCAGAACCCTCCCCCCCCCCCACCGTGTGTCTGAGCTGCTCCGCTCTGAAGGCGCTGCTCACGGGGTGGGGGTGAGAGGCTGCACCCTCCCTTCACCCAGCGCTGCCAAGTCGCTTGTTGCTGCTGATTCTAACACGAGAGCAGCTACAATTATGAAAGCTGTCCAGTGTGAACTTTGGCCTTCACAGAGGACCTTATGGAAGTGGACTGATAATTCCCAGCGATTGCCACTCAACAGCCCTCGATAGATGTCGGTTGAATGCCTGAAGTGTTGTTTGAAATTGAGGTTCATGGCCCCCGTTGTCTCCTCTGCCTTCCATCGCCCCATGTGTAGGAGCCTTCCTTCTCCCTTTTAAGCTCAAGGGAGCTTAAAGCGGAGATCCAACCCTTTGCCTTCTCTTCAGCTGGCAGGGATGGGGTTAAGGCTTGTTGGCAACTAATCCACCTTGGTTAGAGGCCTGCTTGTAAGGAGCTGGAGGAATGAATGGAATTTGAGGGGGAGGGGGAACGATACTCTGACCTCTGCAGGCCCACGGCCTTCATACAGCTCAGACAGCACCCCTGGTTCCCTTTCTTCTTCTGAACTAACAGAGCACCCCCAGATCACTTTGTTCCTCCACAGCCTCCCAGCTGTGGGAAGAACCTGGAAGCACGCTGGGGATCCCTTACATTTCTCTGGCCAGTGTTGAATACGATGTATTTTTGCTCTCAGCTCTCAGCCTCTTGAACATTTTCTTTGTTCCCCACCCCTGTCCCTCTCATCTGCCCCACTGCCCTCCCCAAACCCCCCAGGTCCGAGTGCATCAACAAGTTCGCTTCCGTCTTTGGGACAATGCCTCTTAAGGTGGTGGAGCACCGAGCAGACCCCGTCCTGTACAAGGACGACTTTCCTGAGAAACTGAAGAGCTTCCCCAACATCGGCAGCTTATGAAGCAGGCCACTGGTGGAGGTCTCAACACGAATGCCCCACAGAGGAAGAGAACTCAGCCCGTGACACTCTGACCCCCGGATTTCAGAGTGGAAGACTGGCACCTCCTCACCTGAAGAGCAGAGGCCCCAGGAGGACATCTGAACACCTCTTGCATCTTCTGATGCTCTTAATCGGTTCTTTCTGAAAACTCTAGGTGGAAGCCTGTGGCAGGCTCCAGGGGAAGGTCAGATCAGGCTTTCTTTGTTTCCAGCTCCAGTACAATGATCTGAGAGGAACCGTCCCTGGCTCTTAAGACTGCTGAGAAACCTCCAGCCCGTTTCAGGTCTGTGATATCATGTAAGAGCTACCTGTCTCTCACTTTTCGTAATGTCAAATCAGTGAGTTCTTCGGAGGACAAGCCACACCCAGAATTTGGTGCATAATGCAAGCATCATAGTGGCATCTGACGCCTTGGGAGCACCAGCTGCTGAGTTGGGACCTATAAGTTCCATGAAACTCTTTGGTTTGGCTTTTGGATATGATTAAAATTATTTTTTATTCTGTTTCATACTACATCTTAAATATTGATTATGGAATTTTGTTTTTGTGCGTATGTAACTTCCATCTTCTGATCTCAACTCCAGCCTCCTTCCCAGGTCTGGGAAGACAGTCGGCCGGGAGGTGTATCTGGTGCCATGTGTATCCAGCAGAGAAGAGCCTCCAACTACAAACATTCTTGGAGACAATGTGTCCCCAGACCTACAAAGGAGTCTCTGTGCTTGCTGATTAGATCTAGATATTCTTGGGGGGAAACAGAGGGCCTCTCATAGCCATACGCTGAGTCGCTCTGCTAGTACCATCTTGTAAAATTGAGGGAGTTGTGACCCTCACCCCAAGGGGATGCCAAACTTTCCCTCATTCTTTTGGTATAAACCTAACGTTAGCCAGGGAGGCTCTGGCTAATGTTAAATGCTGCTATAACAACTGCTTTGTGATAGTTGCTGGTATATTTAAATCGTTACATTTCAGCATTTAGTAATACTGCACATGTGTGAATTATACCTCTTTAAGCTCAGTTGATGAACAAATCTACTCTGGCAAATGTTAGATGTTAAGGATTCAAAACAGATTTATCTGACTCTAATATTAAGATTAGCCACAGTTTGGGCTTTAGCCATAACATATGTCCCCAGAACACAAAATACATAACAATTTGCTTGGAATATGGATATAATTACTGAAACTTAGTTGTGTACCAGTCCAAGTCACTAAACGACCACTTATTGTTCTGTTGAGTGACATGGAGGTGAGCTGGTCTCATGCTGGTGTTTTCAGACTTGCAGTTTTAACAAGAATCACTTCAGATGTGTTCCCATGGACTTTGAGAGGCCAAAGAAAACTTTCAGAAGTAGCACAATTGAAAGTGGAAATCTCGAGTCTGATCTTTCATATCTAGGCCTGGTGGGATGGCAAGCTGTCCTTGGCAGAAGGGATGAGATAGCATCTCCAGATCATTCATTTGGCAGTCGCAGACACTGGAGCCGTGATTTATTCATGTGTTGCCACTGTGAACACCAGTGCTTAATCAATACTTTCGATTTGAACAATTGTATCCTAGTCAGCAGGGGAGATGGGAAGGCATTTTGGCCTCATAGTCATAGTACTGGGGGTGATACGATAGAAACCAAGAGAAAGGGGTTTTCTCTTGTCACCCAGATACCAGTAGCTGACACAGCGAGCACCTCCGATCATCCTAGGGGCTCCCTTGCTTGTTTTCCAAGGTTTGGGGCAAGTGGAAGGGGAGGAGGGCCTCACATTTAAATTCTAGCTAAAATCTAAGAACTGTGCTAACATTGCATAACGTGTTATACGTGTTAATGTACACCCTCAGTATATATTAATAGCACTCTGCTCTTTTCAGACAACTGACTGCACTGCATTAGTGGCTAATTTCTAAGCCATTTCTCCCTCTCAAAAAGGGTATCTTTCCTTCTCCTTCCCTCCCTCCTCTCCCTCTCTCTTTATTATTCCTTTGATTCTGGAAGAGAAATGCTTCAGTAGCAGGTCATTGGGAGCCCAAGGGGACTGAGTCAGTGGACCTTTATCACTTTCGTAGAAGACATTGGTCTTCTAAGGGCATTAAAACTCCATTTCAAGTACCTAACTACCCCAAGAAATATTGGGGGTTAGATTTTGCACCATAGCATACAATTTTTTTTTTTTTTAATTATAGAATAAATATTACATCCTAGGCACTGGAAGCAAACCTCAAAGCTTCTGTTCTAGGAAAAGACAGAGGGTGCAGGTCACAGGGAAAAATTCAGGACAGGAATATAGCAAGTGCTCGTGATTCATGGATTCGGAGGGGACTGGGAGCTCCACCCCTGTCCTATGTTGCTGCATTTCTGAGCTGCTCACCAGCAAGCCTCACCCGTAAGCTTGGGCCAGGATCATCTGCCCTTGGGATGCCATAGGTTCTGGTTTCAGAAGCGGAACAATAATGCTAATTAAAATGTCATGTTCTGGCCTACAACAGACAACAGCTGGTTTTAGATTAAGAAATCTTTTTTAAGGAATTGCATTGTACTGGCCTGCACCGACGATGAACCTCAGCTGGCCCTGACCTTGGCCCAAATGTGTGTACTAAGTCACTGGCCTTTGCCCCCAGGGACCTAACTGGAATGGGCCGGCCTGCTTGAAATGCCAGTGTTGAGTGTTGTGTGCTCAGTCATGTCCGACTCGTTGAGACCCCGTGGACTGTAGCTCACTAGGCTCCTCTGTCTGTGGGATTATCCAGGCAAGAATACTGGAGTGGGTTGCCATTTCCTTCTCCAAATGCCAAAGTTGGAAACCCTTTTTTGCTGGTTAAGTTTAGGTAGCTGTTCATATTCTTATCTGATGTATTTTAGCAAAGCTCACACATGTTTAGGCAAAAACCTCCTTTTCTGGGAAAATTAAAGAGAAAAATATCCACTTTTGCCCTCAGAATCTCTGGTTCTTTCCTGTAAATGATGCTATCCTGTCTCTTCTTCTTACTTAGCATCATGAAGGTCAGGACTCTGGCTTCTCTGCCGCGCCTTATGTGCTTCCAGTTTGTGGTTTTTAGAAGTCTCTCTGCTGCCTCTGGAAAGAGTGACCATCATCCTGGCCCATGCTGACCAGGACTGGGAGCTGGAAGAAGCCAGCAGGTCTGTGCTCTCACTTGCCGAAGCGTGGCTGGTAGCTCTCTGATCTGGCTTCCTCCTGGGACAGTCTCTGGAGGATCCTTGCCACTGAAAGGCCACAGGCTTCTGCCCACGAAATCTCAAGGTCTGATTGCTGGGCTCAAGTCCAAGACCCCTTGGTGGTAGAATTAAGAAGTCGATGAAGCAGAGTCGAGGTTGGGAAGTGGTTCACTCCTAGGGGGACTCTTCCTGGCTCTCCAATCACAGGATCACAGAGGAATCCGGCCAAGAGGGCAGAGGTTTCGAAGGTTCCCCATGGGCTAGCTTCCCTGAGCCTGGTGGGTTTCCTCGCTCTCCCAGGGGCGTCTCCAGGGTAAGCTGTTTTCTCCAATTCTGTCGGCCGTCTTCTGATGCAGCAGCCGAAGCCACAGCACGCCATTCCCCGAGGAGCCCTGGCTCGGGGAGGCAGAGGCAGAGAACGCCCAACTGGCCCCACGCCCCTTCAGCCACTTCCTGAGGAGCCGTCCCGGTGGAAGTGCCAACTGGATTGGCAGGCGGCGGCCGTCCAGGGAGGCTCTGGAAGAGACCTGAGCTTTCCACTGAGGGCCTGGAGGCATGTGAACCCTGGAGGCTGGCTGCTCACCTCACCCCAGAGCTCTGTCCCCAGCCCCAGGGCTCCCGTGCTAGGCCAGTGTTTAAACGGGGGGCAGCTTTTGGTCCCACTCTGCCACCCAGGCCTGGTGGGATGATCTGAACTGGTTTTACTGAGCTGCTCCTGACAGAGGACAGTGAGGCAGGCTGGATTCTGCTCTCGTTTGTAAGGTTTTCCCCTCTGCTAAGCTAAGGGCTTCCCTGGTGGCTCAGTGGTAAAGAATCCACCTGCAGTGAAGGAGACGCAGGTTCAATCCCCTGGGTCAGCAAGATTGAGAAGGGATTCCCTGGAGAAGAGATCTTCTTCACTTCACCACTCCAGTATTCTTGCCTGGGGAATTCCATGGACAGAGGAGCCTGGCGAGCTACAATCCATGGGGTCGCAAAGAGTTGGACATGACTTGGCAACTAAACAACAGTGACATCATCCTAAAGGAAACTCACAGCCTCTCTTCCACCTCCATTAAATAGACTGCCAGGGCTCCCCAGCCTCAGGCTTTGTAATGTCCAGGTTCCCTGGGACAGGGTGTGGTCTGTCTAGGCAACATTGTGCAGTAGTTTTTCATGTCCGGCTCACCACTGCTTGCAACACAGCGCAGGTGACGGGGCAGCTTGCCCCTTCTCCCAGCTTTGCAGGCATCTTTCCTTGTCAAGAAATTGTTGAGTCACCCACCTCCGTGTCTGGCATCCCAAACTTACAGCCTTTGTGGGGTAGAGCTTTTTCCTTTCTTCTGCTCCCAACTGGTTGGGCCCCTGGTTGCACTACTTCGCAGCCTCCCTGAAAGGGCACCAGAGCCGTCAGGCAGAGATGAGGAAAGGGAAGGATGTCTGGTGCCACTCAAGAGGTACCAGGCAGCTATGTCTGATAAGAGGTTTCCCCAGCAAAGCACCAGCTCACCCGTAGCATCTCGGGAGCTGCCCTTGGAGTGACAGCTGCCTACAGAGCTGGGATTGGAATCTGTGTGTCTTGGACCCAAGCCTCCAGCCACTCCATCCACCCTCAGAGCCTTCCCTTCACAGTGTATCAATGTGAGCTCTTATTTACAGCCGCCAACTCCTATCATTAACTACTACGCCCAAGAAGAAGCTCAAAGAATGTCTAGATTTCTGGTAATCAGCTTTAAGAACAACCAACTGGTTACTGACCAAGATGAGGGAATAATTCAGCCATTCAGTTTTCTAATTGTTCATTCATTCATCAAAATGTACTCTTTGCCAGAACCTGTGCTGCGTCTGAGACAGAGTGGAGTAAGTGGAATAAGGCACGGTCTTGACCTCCAGGAACTTGGGTTCCAGTGAGAGTTCTTGGTTCTGTAAGATGGTGTGGAGTCCCTCAGAGGCCTAGGACTCCATACACATACGTTTTAGTCCTGACTGTACAGGAAGATTTCATTTCGTGAACACCATCTTCGCTGGTACCCGGAGGAGGCCAGGATTGTTTTGTTTCCCGTTCTCATAGCGCCTTCCTTTGAGTTGAACCCTGGCCTTCCTTGGCTTTGAGGGACTCCACTCCCTCCCCTTAGTTTCCTCAACCAGAAATTGAAGATGGCAAGAGCGCTTCGACCCGGGTGGGTGAGATGCAGTGATGTATCAGATCTCTTCCCCCTCTTTACCCAGACCCCTTGCCAGATTGTACCTGGTGATGCTGGCAGCCAGCCCTCTTCCGGCCCCTATTTCTGCTCACCCTGTTACCAGAGAGCCTGGGGGTCTGGATCCTATCTGGCCCCGTCAGGGTAGATTACCAAATGAGTGGTTCTTTTGCCCCAGTGCCTTTCCTGTGCTATAAATAAGCCCCATGTTTATTTTCTAATGTTATTGAAATGAGCACTTGGGATTTGGGCCTCTTGACTAGTCCAGAGAGCGTCCACCCAGTGCCTGGTGAGAGCCCTGTGTGGCTGGCTGCTGTCTGAAGCTATTTGGAGTCCTCTCCCTGTGTTGTGGATGTGGCTTCATTTCAATAGTAAGGGCTGTATGCAGCCCTGTATCTGCTGATTTTCAGGTTTCAGCTTTCTGCCAGCCTCACTGCCTGCTTAGAAGTAAAGCTGTGTTTCTCATTAAGGGGATAAGAGCCACAATTGAGATAATTAACGAAAATTGTGTATTGGTGGCAGCAGGTCCTATAGGATTTCCAATAGTCTACTTAGTAGATCCTGAGGGGTTTTACCTTCATCTCCTCCCCCTGCCTACCCTGTGCCCAGTCTCTGTTCTTGTTTTCTGGACATAGGCCCAATAATTTCTCTATATACAGCCTTGTTCTTGTCAGCAGTTTGGTTTGATATATTGACAACCTGACCAAATGAAGATTTTATTAACCGCATCTTTTCCAAGACATAGAAGATGCAAGATCTGCCCCCCCCCACCTCCCTTCCCATAGTATCTCCCGTTTGCTGGTTGTAACTTGGCTCTGTTTAAAAAGTTATAAGATAAATATCTATTAATAACAGATAGATGCTCTATTCAGTACTATGGCTGCGCCATCTCCATGGGACAGTGCTGAGACAGAATGGAAACATCTGACAGCCCTATGCAATGTCTTATATGCTATGTGGGTGTCTAGGAACTAGGAAGTGTTCTGAATTAGGATTTCCTCAGGAGTGGTTTCTAGCTCCTTCAGGCTTTGATGATGCATCAAAAGTATCCAATGAGACTGAGCAGGACACAGCATTGCCTGTCAGAACTTGGGCTAAAGATGATTGTCTACTGCTCAGGAGGGATTATTCTGATAAGTCACTAAGTAGGGAAATGTTTACGTGAACAAACCAGAACCTATAGCCTATTATTGAACAGTTACATCTAACAACCAGATTTAATTCACTTTCAGACATGGAACCAGAAGAAAGTGAATTTTCACTCATTTGATTTTAGTCTATTGACTCCTAAAGATTCTTTTCCCTTAAAAAGTAAAACGTCTTTTGTGATGGATTTACATTTATTGAGCACTTATTATGTGCCAGATACTGTTCTCAATTATGAAGATGCTGCATTGAACAAAGTGCCTACTCCTGCTAAGTGTACATTCTAAGAAGGAAGACAACCAAAAAAAGTAAGTGAATACAGTTTCAAATGGTAAAAAAAATGCTATGAAGAGAACAAAGCATAATAAAGGGAGATCGTTAGTGACTTGGGCATGAGGAGATATTTAAGATGAGTTGGTCAGAAGTGGCATTTAAACACAGTTCTCAGTGTTGAGAGGGAGTGGAGACAGAGGGACAAGCTAGCATACAAGTCCCTCAGGCAGGAAAACCTCAGCTTGTTTTAGGAACAGAGAAACTCCTGTGTGACTGCGGTGTACTGGGTATGGAGAGCAGGGGAGGGATGATGCCAGAAAAGGCAAGTCAGGGCCGAATTTTGCAGGACAAAAGGGTTCTGGATTTTTACTCTGAGTGTGATGGGAAGACACGGGGAGGTTTTAAGCAGGGGATTGGCATCCGAGTGGGATTTTTGTCTAAAGAATCATTTCAGCTATTATGTGGAGAAAAGGCAGTCGAGAACGAGAACGGAGGGAAGGAAAGCAAGAGGCTGTGTTGAGGGGGGCAGCTGAGAGATGGGAGTGGCTTCGTTAGACCCGGGTGGTGGCAGCAGAGATAGTGAGGCGTTATCCTGGGGACAGAATCTGTTGGACTTTGTAATGATTTGGTTATAGGAGACGAAAACAGGATCCACAGCTAGCTACTAGGTTTTTGTTGTAGCTGAGTGACAGTTAAGTGACATAGGGCAGGCTGGGCGGGGAAGGGCAGAGAAGCGTGAGGGGCCGTCAAGAGCTCCGCTGGGAGGGGTTCAGTTTGAGATGTCTCTTGGTCATCTAGTGGTAGTGCTGGTTAAGCAGTTAGCTATCTAGAGCTTAAGGGGAGAGTTAAAACTGAACATGCAGATGGGATTTAAAACCATAGGACTAGATGAGACTACCCAGAGAATCAGAATATGTAGAGAAAAGAGGGCTGTGGCCTGATTTCCAGGTAGAGAAGAAAAGAGGAGCCAGAAAAGGAGATTGAGGAGTTGCCAGTGACTGAGGAAGAAAACCAGGAAGATATCTGTAAGATAGACTGTGATGAATTAGAGATACATTCTGTAAACCCTGAAGTAATGGCTAAAAACCTTTTAAAAGGAGGCGTAGCTAATAAGGCAATATTGGAGACAGAATATGAGAAAAATATTCAATCAAAAAGAATTGATTGAAGAAAAGTAAACAAAGAACAGATGGGACTCAAAAAAGTAGGGCACTAGACTTAAGCTCTCACGTGTTAATAAGTAAGTAAGGGTTGGTCACTCAGTCGTGCCCGACTCTTTGCGACCCCATGGCCTGCAGCCCACCAGGCTCCTCTGTCCATGAGACTTTCCAGTCAAGGATACTGGAGTGGGTTGCCATTTCCTTCTCCAGGGGATCTACCCAACCCATATTAATGTCATTATTAATATGTTAATTAAGGGCTGCCAGGGCTTCGTAGACCTTAATTAACATATTAATGACATTAAATGTAAATGATCTAAACGTTATAATTAAAGGAAAGAGATTTTCATTCTGAATTAAACATCAAGGGCAATCATATGCCATCTATGAGTAAAGCACTACAAAATACAGTCGAAGTAAAAAGAGTAGAAGAAATTATACTAGACAAATATGAATCACAAGAAACTGGAAGTGATTTCATCAATAAAGGACAAAATAAACTTCAAAACAGTAACATTCCCAGGGAGAAAGAGGAATAGTTCATAATGTTAAAGGTGTCAGTTCACTAAGAAGACATAACAGGTAATTCTAAGTAATATAGGCACTGAATAATAATGCTTAAAAATATATGAAGCAAAATTGACAACTGAAAATGAAACAGAAAATCCACAATTATATTTGGGTATCTCAGCACTCCCCTCTTAGTAATTGACAGAACAAGTTGATAGAAAAATCAGAAAGATAGAGATGATCTGGATAATGCTATCAACAATTATGGCCTAACTGATAGTTATGGAACACTTTACCCACCAATAGCTGAATAGATATTCTTCTCAGGTGCACATGCAATATTCAGCCCCTGTGTGTGGCACCATAAAAAGTCTCAGTTTTAGAGGAAATGAAAATACAAGTATGTTCTCTGACCACAAT